AAGTACATCCCAACAGCTGAGGCTAAAAACCGAGCAAATTATGGGAAACCTGTAGATTTCACCTGCAAAAGGTACATGCAGGACATCAACAACTGGGACTCAATAAATAAAATTATTTCCCAAGGTTATTTATCTCTAATAGAAATCAAGCAAATTTAAAAATAAAAGACAGATACAGGAACAAAGTTTTCTTTTACACCCAAAAAACTCTATGGGTTATCATTACGATGGCAATACTGAGTAATGATTAATGATTAATTGTGGTTATTAATTATAATGGTTGCCCTTCATGTAACGATGGCCGGCCCAAGGGCCACTTAGGCGTGAATTTGTCTAAAATGTAGAAGCTGTCGCCAACACAACAAACCACACCCTAAGTTAAAGAGTTGCGTAACCCAGTGTCAAGGAATAGTCCGAGAAGACTGGACAACTCACCAACTGCATTGGCTAACCATTACCCCAGAACATGATCCGCAAATCGATTACCATCCAGGTTCCCAATTACTGCTGGGTAGACAGAGGCAAATGGCGTAAGCAAACTTGCCCATAGTTTCACCCTGCTCGGGTAATTACATCCCTGGCGACGCAGCACCTTAAGTCATATGTCGCCAAATTAAAATAAATGCTTAGAAGACTAAAATCAAATAATGCAAGGTTATAAAACAAATCATTAGTATAAACTTTCGTAAAAACCATTTAAACGTTAATAGATAAAACTCAAAGCTTGTGTAGAAGGCCGGCTTCCTCAGCGAAGGAGAGGTCGTTCACTCCCACTTCCTCCCCCAGCACCAAAGAGAGACGGTAAGCCCCCACCCACACCAGAGACAATACCTGTCAACCGATCTATCAGGTCTCACCTGTCAACCGATCTATCAGGTAAAGACCTGATTCTATGCATATACGTACCAAACGTCGTCATCGAGGACTGTACACGTGATAAGTCGTAAGAGGAGTAAATAATGGCAAGAAGAAATGGAACTACGGCCACTCCACTTCCGAAGTGGACATTCTCAATGCCATTAAACAAAAACGGATTGATTTCACAAAATGCATCAAAAAGGCAACCAAAGGGAAGATCAACACAATGAAGAGTGGACGCACAGAGAACAAATCACTAAAACCAAGAACAAAAACAATGAACACGCTAAGTAAGGCAGTGAAAATAATGCAACAACGTCCTCCACTGGAGAACTAATAAATTAAGTTTGTCCAACCAGTACAACCAAGTCGATCCAGATGTTATACTCAAATTCACATGGCCAAAAGGCATCTGAAGAGTTTAAAATATTTGGTTACAAGATTCATAAATTCAATCTATCATTGGAGCCGAATGACGGGGTGGCCCATCTCCATAAAGTGAGATCTCCACAGAATCATAGACGACTTCACCTCTGAAACTCTCGGTGTCCAAATCAACCTGACCACAGGACCAATCATAATAGCCACAACCTACCTCCCACCACATAGGGACTACCTGCCTTACGGGGACTTCTACAGACTTCTATCATGCCACCACCCAACCTACATCATCGGGGTCAAGAACGCCAGACATCCTCTACTAGATGGTAAGAGGTCAACCAACAATGCTATAAGGGGCCTCACAACAGACAAAAAAACAGCTAATAGGCCATACCCTAGATATAGCAATAGCAAACGACAGATGCTTCAACAACTACCTCTTTGAACAAGGTCCTGTAACCTCCAGCCACCACCTACCTATAATTATGAAAAAATAAAAAACAAAAATCTACGCAACACCAATAACGATACCAGCTCCACCAAGAAGGATTGCCAAGCAGACCAACTGGGAAACATTCAACGAAAAAGTTACAGCCAAACTTGAGGCCAAAGACATGACAATCCTGCAGACCATAGACAACCACCTGGTGAACAAAATAGATGAAGAAATCAACACATGGCAGGGCTGTGGAGTCGGAGTCGAGGAGTCGGAGGAAATTTCGGTTTGTGGAGTAGGAGTCGGAGTCGGTAAAATTGTCCAGACTCCGACTCCGACTGAAGCTATTCTGTTCCTAAGAACAAATATATGAACTCAGGTATATTCATTGCAGTGATTCCACTGATCCCACTAATTTTCTTAAATTATTAAAAGAATTTATTTCCATTTTATAAGCATTATTATGAATTTATTGTAGCAGGCACAGTATAGCACTATAATTTTGGACGATAGTCTCTTCTTTACCATTTGAAATTTTGAATTATATCAAATTTTGTTTCGTTAAAAACTGCACAGAGGCTCTCAGCTACAAAACAATTAGCTACAACCTGTTTTTGGTGAGATTAAGGCAAATTTAATTTAATAACTTAATCATGTAAGGTTTATCCATTTTCCTTAATAAGGTATTCATTTCTTTAATGTACATAAATATATAACTTTACTTTAAAAGGAATTGTAGGATCATCATTTAGATCCACATCAGATTATGAGCTTAAACAAAATTCATATGCTGAGATCGAACTTTTAGATATACATGTAAATGGTGTTTTCTAGTTAATATCTTGAATTCTTAATAAATTTATTTTTCTTTTGATTGAAACTTTGAAAGTCAAGCCTATCATCTTTTTGTAGTTCTTAAATATCGTCCAGATCATTAATAAAGCTGTAGCAGTATAGCCACGGTGTTTTACTTTTTACCTATGCAGGTTACAACATACAAATTACAATTAGGATGGTAGAAATAGTTGTTACAAATAGGCCAAGGAGTCGGAGTCGGAAGCATAAAAATTTGAGGAGTCGGAGTCGAAGGTTTTGTCTTCGACTCCACAGCCCTGACACATGGTGTGAAGCCATAGGAACAGCCTACCAGGAGGCCAGCCCCTCCCAAACACAAGAGAACACTCCCTCACCCATGACAGACGCCAAAACTCCTAGCCCTCAACAACCAATTCCAACTGCTACAACAGAGCCGAGACCCAGGGTTGGAACATCGTAAGCAAGAATACGGGAGGAAATAAAAACAAGATGTCTGGATCAAAGCAACCTCAATTGGGCCGAAATAGTTAAGCAACTCTCAAACATACAACGACCGAGGAGAGTTCTGGCGTCGAGTTAAGAGAGAAAGGTTCCAGCCGCAATGAATCACCATATATAACTGACCATACAGGAAGTAAAATATATGACGATCAAGACAAAGAACCCATATTCAAGGACATATGGAGGAACATTTTCCGAATCACAAATGAAAAGAACAGGGGATTTGACGGTACCCACGGGGCCAGACACACCGCACTCAGCCATCTCAAATACCAAAAATATAGCCCCTAGCTACTCGGGCATCGCCAAGGAGATCCTCAGCCACATAAAAAATCCGGCTATGGAGAAAGGGCGAGATTTCCGTGGTGTCCTCACCCCCACCCGATGCATGCAACGATGCAACTATATTTTGAAACCAAAAGAAAAGAATTGCAATTGGATGCACATAAATTGTAGAAATCTGCTAAGGAACAATATTTTTTAATAAGATATCCTCCATATAGAACAGTATATGAGGAATTTTATTGTTATTTTTAAAAGAATTCCATGTTTGTATGGGAACATCTGCCAGGCTCATACATGTCTCGTCTCATCGCCGCTTATATCCTCCAAATTCTTCTAACCATTATTAAAGGTAAGCTTTTAAGGTAAATAATTTGTGTAGGAATGTATGGAAATCGAATTAAGCTAAAAAAAAATCATAAGCTGGCCTAACTGGAGAGTGGTAAGAAAGCTGCTACTGGTGCATGACGTCCCTTATCAGGAATAATATCGACTCGATTTTCTTAATGAGCCCAATTAATAATAGTCCAACACTACCAAAATAGGTAAAGCATTAGTTTAAATACTTAGTAGCCTAATTTTCATATTTTAACAAGTTCAAATATACCAGGTAACCAGTGCCAGGTAGTTCCCAGGCAGGTTTCGTTTGTGTATCAACTTAACCACAATTTGTTACTAATAACAAATTCATTGACATAAATTCATGTTTTGTTTTTGTGTTTTTTTTAATTCCCCTTGTGACTCGCTGTATTGCAATAAAGAACTACCTTAACACTTTTTGTGCAGGTAATAATTTACTTTACCATTGACAGTGTATAAACAAGTGTGAATACATTGGCCATGTATGTCCATGACTTCAACAAAAATGAATAATGCCTTCCAAAAAACAAGAAATTGGTGGTATTATTATCTTTTCGATCATCCAGCGAATTTAAGGATTTTAAGTTGGTAGATTTTTATCAATTAGGTTGAGTTAGGTAGGTTAGTTTTACATTATTGATATATAACATTAAAATTTTGAAGGGCTATAATTTTTCTATATGAATTTCTCCCAAACTGGGTGGCAGTTTTGAACTCACTATAAAATTCTACATTAGATTTATTTTTTTTAAATGAAAAACAAAATCAGAGTTAATGTCGGAAATATTTTTCCATTACTTATTTTTTTAAGACAAAATTACCCACAATATGATGTTGGAAACTTATAAATATTAACCCTCATAAATAAAGATGTTTCAGAATTCGCATATTTAACTAACACAATATTAATGCTTTAATTTTCACTTACAGGTGGAGATACAGCTGACTATTCACCTAGGACCAAAGCTGAATAATTCTTGGTATCATGGCTGATGTAAAATTCTTCCTGTTACTGGGAAGATTCTGGAAATTGCTACCTAACCTAACCTCGGAAAAACATGCAGTTTGTTATTTTCAGAAAACATGCCTCGGGAAAATCAAAACATGCTCAGAATATATAATTTTCATTTTTCCATTTACATACATACATGGATATTATGTATCAATATATTTGTGAAATTTGTGGATGATTTTTCTTTTAAAATACTGTACTCTTGATCATTCATATATTAGTACATATCCTGCTTTAAATAAAGGCTATAATCTGACATTAGCATTATCATTGTATTCTTATCCTTAATATTACTGCATTTAATATTAAACATTAAAAAATGCAGAAATAATTTGCAATTAGTTGGTAGAATTTCACGAATATACCTACAGTATATGGGTTCCATGCTCACAAGATGAACCTAATCTAACCTAACATGTCTTCCTTTCCATTGTTGTTGGGAGTACAGAATATGCCTTGTGAACAAATGTCTGCACACTACCTATGAAGCCTCTGTTGAGGATCCATATACTGTACAGTATTTACATGTAATATTTTTTCAAATATAGGACCATTTAAACAGTGGAAACTTTTCTTCATCTACAGGTTTAGTCCATGTTTACACCTGATTATTGCACTGCAATAAATACCCTAAGAAATATAACAAGACAATAACACTCTCCCGATGTCAGGAGTAAAAATGGACTAAACCAGATGAAGAAAAATGTCCACTGTTTAAATGGGAACCAATTCCGAGGTTAGGTTAGGCAGCAATTTCCAGAATCTTCCCATTAACCGGAAAAATTCGACATCAGCCATGATACCAAGAATTATTTCTTCAGTTTCGGTCCAAGGTGAATAGTCAGCTGTATCTCCACCTGTATGTGAAAATTAAAGCATTAATATTGTGTTAGGTAAATAAGCCAATTCTGAAACATCTTTATTTATGAGGGTTAATATTTATAAGTTTCCAACACCTTCATGTTGTGGGTAATTTCGTCTGTTAAAAAAATAAATAAAAAATTATTTTCAATGGAAACTGGGATTTGTTTTTCATTTACAACACTCAAAAAATTTAAAACAAAATTCTAAGGTAGATTTTTATGGCGGGTCCAAAACTGTGATCCCTTTTGGGAAAATTTCATAGAAAAAAATTATATCCCTTCAAAAACTTTAATGTTATATATCAATAATGTAAAACTAACCTACCTAACTTAACCAAACTGGTAAAAATCTGCCAACTTAAAATCCTTAAATTCGCTGGATGATCGAAAAGATAATAATACCACCAATTTCTTTTTTTTTGGAAGGCATTATTCATTTTTGTTGAAGTCATGGACATACATGGCCAATGTATTCACACTTGTTTATACACTGTCAATGGTAAAGTGAATTATTACCTGCACAAAAAGTGTTATGGTAGTTCTTTATTGCAATGCATTGAGTCACAAGGGGAATTAAAAAAAACACAAAAACATGAATTTGTCATTGAATTTGTTACTTGAGGAGGTTTTGTCCTACACTCATTAGTGGGCAGCTCAAACACAACTGTAAGTTCACCTTTCAGGAAATTTGGTTTAACAATACTGTACAGCATAAGATTGTCTTTCTGGGCTTGTTTAAGGTTGTTAATGCAATTTACTACTGGACCTAGTTTTGTGAGAATTGATGTTGGTTAAAAGTTATCATCTAATGAATGTGCAGCATGTACAGTGCAGTATATATTATCACACAAACATACTGTACAGTGTACTCGTACGATATGTAACTACATGATCTGGGCTGGGGTCGATGCTGCTGGTCGGCTCTCAAAACCGGCAGCAGGATAGGAGTAATTTTGTCTGGACTCTCCCCAGTGACCCACCCAGTTTGGGAAACCCTTTCCCTCCCTCGGAGGAGAGGATGGGCGGGAGGGGGGAGGGAAGGGGCAAGCTTTCCTCCTCCTCCTCCTCCCCCCCCATCTGTACTACTCACCAGGGCTCGCAAAAGTCCCGTTATTATCATCAGAGTTTTACAGCCTTTAACAACTTCTCATGTCATTCATGGTCTACTCCTAACTCTGCTCCCCTCCACACTCAAACTCTAGCAGTTGGTCTCCTTTCTTTTCACATGCCTAAACTATCTCAGCCTACCTCCATGCAAAACGTTAATCCTCTTCATAGCAAGTTGCCCTCTTTAGCTCTAAACTAAGTTTCTTATCTTTCTATGTCACATTACACATCAGTCTCACCAATGTTATTTCAGCCAGCTCAAGCCTATATATGTCATCCTCTTTACTTCCACAGTGAAAAATATCTTCTCGCCATCAATACAGGCAAAAAATACACGTTGTCATTTCCAATACTCCTGTACTTAGTTATGCCGTGACCGAAATATTTTTTGTCTCCTGCGAAATGGCCTCGATTTAGCCAATCGTGATGTAGAAATCTGAACTCCATATGAATTCTAGAGTTCAGTAATTACATTATTCTCCACATTAACATGTACAGTAATGCAACTCGAATGTGTACCTCGCATATTTTGACTCCTACCTAGCCGAGTAACTACAGTTTTCCCACACCATCAAGCAGCCGTACAACCCAACACAAATGTCCTTCACAATACCTGTAAGGCAACCCTTCATTTATGAGAAGGTAAATTAATGAAAACTTTACCGAAATATCATAAATGTAAACCAATCAGGGAGCTTGGTTACCAGCTACAATGGTGAGAACAATATGCGAACTCTTATAAAAATAAATGAATAATTTTCTTTATGTCTAATTTTAAGACGTCAAAGTTTTCAGAAACATTTATTTTAGAAAATGAAGGAAACGTTGTCTTCTTTGGCTGCTTATCAGATACTTTTCTGCAACTATGACTTAAAAAATTCCTCCAGGAAACAGGGTGTCCATAAATGTCTGATACACAATCCCAACTCAAAATGTAACTCAATCTAAAACTGCTTAAAACAATATATCATCTTACTTGTTCCATGTGAGATGCTCCCAGAAGTCAGAGGAATGTACTGTACAGTATTTTCTTCATGTAATCTCTTAAATGGTCTAAATCCAGTGGAAATTTTTTTTTTTAATTTTCTAGCACTAAGTTCACGTTGTACTGCAAGCAATGATCCAAATGTGTCCGCCCATCGTGGTAACATCTGCAAGAAAGTCAGTCATTTTAATTGCTTAGCATTGCTGTGATTGTAATATTCATGGAACGTTAGTTAGTTAGTTAAGAAGGTGGAGGCATGTTGATTATTACTGATAAGGTGAGTATTGGTGGTGGCTATTGTACTAATAGATTAGTGAGGGTTATGGAGGTAGTATTGTTAAGGTGGTAGATGGTTATGGTTGTAATTTATGAGGTGGTGCTAGTAATTAATGTGGGGGGGTAGTTATTGTGGATGAGGTGTTAATAGTGTAGTATTGGTGGTGCTAGTAGTGGTAGTAATTATGGAGGTGGTATTAGTATAGGGATTAAGTTGGTGTAAGTTGAGGTATTAAGGTGGTGTTATATGTGGTAGTTATTAAGATGGTAATACGGAAAACCTTTTTTTTTTTCCATAGAGAAACTTCATCAGGCTGCTACTAAGGCCCTGATGAATGTGTTTGTCTGGGTTCTATTACAAATATGGAAAAGATTATTCGATGAAATTATTGTCGTGAGAAGCAAATATATACAGTTTTATTTATTATATGTCTAGTGGTACTTAAGGTCCGTTCTCCTGGGTAACAATGGCTGCCAAACGGCCCGGGAAAACACCACAAATAATAAATCATTGATTATTGGCATTAATATATTTTAAAACACTTATATATATATCACCTTTAATCCTCTCCGGTTTAGCAGATTTCATGGTATGCACACTGTCGTCTTAATGCCCGCCTCTTGCTCGTTATTAATCTAAACCTTTGAAGAGTTCTCTGGTCACCGTTATCCTCGCCGCCGCCATGACACCTAGGGTCTTCCCGGGGGGCCGACCGGTGTCCGAAACCTCCAATATCTTAGATGATATTTAAAGACGATTATTATTTGTTAGATATGATTACAGTAATTATATTAAATTTACAATATAGAAACAATGAATTTTTGACAATAAAATAATCATAAATATATATAATATTGACGATATGTAATTAAATATAAGGAAATGATTCTCTCGATCACATCCGGACGCGGGAGGTACTCAAAAGAGCAACTGAAATTTAAATTTGATTTGTTTAATAACGAAGGCATATAAAATACATATTTCCTATACTTAGAATTGTGTATAGATAATAGTAGTAATTTTAGATTGTTGAGATTAACAATAATGAGCAACTGTAATTTTGATCATAAAAAAAGGAAGCTTTATTTTAGGTTCAGGGTTGATCGGTTTGGCGTTAGCGTATGTCTTATGATGATATTAAGTTCTTGTAAAATTAAAATGTAAATAGCTAATAAATTAGAAGGTAAACGACAAGCTAGAATATTTAATGAACATTGGTTTAACCGCAACTAACTTTGATAGCTTAATGTCACAATAATATTCAAAATTATACAAGGTAACGTTAAGAGAACGCTATAAATGTCTGGCTCCCAAAGGTTCTTGGAAACGTTAATTTTAACTAATGCTAAGATAATGAAACCGGTTATGGATGAATCAGTATAAATTTTATATTTGTTGTTATTTTTTATACTTTAGCTTAAGTAAATTAGTTAGCGGCAATTTTTTCTTCAATTAACGTGTAAGATTGTACCATAGTACGATATGTTTACCCGTGTTGAGATGGGGGGGGGGGGAGGGAGGGCTTGTCTTGGCAGCGCCCAGTTGCCAGTCACCAGCTGATGGTGTTAGAATAAAGTTTACAAAGAATGTGGTCTGACTCAAACCTCTCACATAGCGCACTGAGTAGGATATATCGGGGCCTGACACGCCATTACAGCCCTGACAAGAACGCTGACATGGCCCCTACACGTCCACGCTTCTCGACGCCCTCAAGGGGACGCCAGGGCTTCTCTACACCGGCGGGGAACACCACGCGCGCCCAGCAGCAGGCCATGAGTGCATTGATGGCTCAGATGGCGTCTCTAGTTGCTGGCGGTGGTCATACTTCAATGCCGGTCATGAAGCCCTCAGCAGCTGTCGCACCAGAGAAGTGCGAGACAGAAATGCCAGCAGCTGCGTTTAGGACATGGAGGCGGTCCATGGAGTCATGGGTGGTCACAACTGGTGGCCTCACTCCACATTCGCCTGAACTGTGTCCCTGCACTCGAAAGGGTGATTGACTCGAGATACCCCAGCGGTCAGTGGAAGCAGCTCTCGCCTAAAGAAGCCCTGGACGCCATCAGTGGAATGGTTCTTCAATCTTCAAATCAAGCTGTGAAATGGAACGAGTTTTTCAACAGCAAGCAAGGTGAAGAGGAGCCCATGAAAAGGTATTTTCAACGATGCTTCACAGAGGCGGTGGAGTGTGAATTTAAATGTCCCACCTGTGATAACGATCTCTGAGTGCATGCTATTACGTAAAGTTATGGTGGGCCTGAGTAACCCAGTGTTGAAAAGGGAAATTTTCCAGGGGTACTCTAGTTAAAATAGTGTTGAAGTGCTTAGAAACAAATGCATGTTATTTGAGGCAGCAGTGAGAGATGCTGGTGTATTGTGTCGTACGGTGAGTCCGAGGTAGCTGCCGCCCGACCTGGACACCCCAGTCGCGTGCACTGTGGTAACTGGCATGTCACATGCCTCTGATAAAAGTAACTGCCATGCAAGTGGGGCTACATGTCGCAATTGCTGTAAGGTTGGTCACTTCAAAAGGTGTTGTAGGAGTAAGTCAGCCCTAAGTGCTCCTGTGGATGTGTCAGGCGCTGTTACAGTGGCAACAGCCCAGCTATCCCGCCACCCCAGGTTACACGTGCGCCTTGTCATCCCCGACTCCCTCCGCCACCGGGTCGCCGTTAACCTGCATGTGAGGCACCAGGGCCTCGACTCAATGCTCAGGCGGGCCCGGCAGTCTGTCTATTGGCCTGGCATGGAGGGTGACCTGCAGTATCATCGGTCCCGGTGTGTTGCTTGCGAGACCCACGCCCCTTCCCAGCCTCCGGAGTCGTTGGTTCTGACCCCAGCGCCAGACTATCCCTTTCAACAAGTGGTGGCCGATTTGTTCCACCTGCAGGGCCGCACGTACCTAGCATATGCTGACCGACTCACAGGTTGGCTGGAGATCGCCCACGTCCCCAACGAGGCCACCTCTGGAAAAATCATCGCCAGTCTGCGGGCCTACTTCACGAGGTGGGGGGTACCTGAGCAGATCTCCACGGATGGAGGTACCAACCTTGCCAGCCTTGAGATGACAGATTTCCTCAAGTCATGGGGGGTCGAGGTGCGCCTCTCGTCGGCCCACTTCCCCCAGTCCAATGGCAGGGCAGAGGCTGGGGTCAAGGCTGCCAAGAGGCTCCTCAGGGATAACACTGGGCCCGGGGGTAGCCTGGACTGTGATAGGACATCCCAGGCCCTCTTCCAGTACCTGAACACGCCTCTGCGGGGGATGAACAAGTCGCCCGCCCAACTTGCCACCGGCCGCCAGCTCCGTGACGGCGTTCCCGTGGCCAGACAGCACTATAAGGTGGACCAGCACTGGCGGCGGGCACTTCGTATGAGGGAGGTGCGCTTGGCCGAAACCCAGGATGGGGTCCTGTCGCGGAGGGAGGTATCCCGCCAGCTGGCTCCCCTAGTGGGCACGCAGGTGCGTGTGCAGGACGCAGCTACTCAGCTCTGGGACAGGACAGGCATAGTGGTGGAAGCCCGCCCTCACAGGCAGTATGCCGTCAGGTTGAGTGGCAGTGGCAGGGTGTCCATCCGCAACAGACGCCACCTGCGAAACGGCTCCACACCTGTGCCTACTACTCCGGTGGTGCACCAAGCTGTGCCTCCTGGGCCCCCTTCTGCTGTGCCCTCCGTACCCGCGCCCTCCTTCGCACTCACGGCCCCTCCCCAGTCGAACGCGGCCAGGCCCAGGAGAGGCCGTAGGCCTCCGGGCTGGTTGACGGACTACGTGGTGTAGTGTATGTTATGTAAAATCAGTTTATGGTTTTTTTTTTTTCTTTGTTTGACTGGTTTTTCCTGCATTATTGTTGTTTTTATGAATGCATTGTTTTCCTTTCGTTAGTTCAAATGTGCATTGTCATTTCCTTTTAACTTGGGGGGGAGATGTAAGATTGTACCATCGTACGATATGTTTTCCCATGTTGAGATGGGGGGAGGGCTTGTCTTTGGCAGCGCCCGGTTGCCAGTCACCAGCTGACGCTGTTAGAATAAAGTCTACAAAGAACGTGGTCTATGACTCAAACCTCTCACAGGATGAATCAGTATAAATTTTATATTTGTTGTTATTTTTTATACTTTAGCTTAAGTAAATTAGTTAGCGGTAATTTTTTTCTTCAGTTAACGAGAAATATTAATCGAATGACCTTTAAGAAAGAATCTGAATGCTGTACTATGTGAAAAGACAGCTTGTCAGATAATTAGAAAGCCAAGCACCACTCAATGGCATGAAATTATTGCTATCTATATAATAAAGGTAAAACTTGTGCATGGTGTACATGTGCCAACTACGGACATGTTAGACAACGTTCACTAAGTCTTTTTCTTCTATAATGAACAAGAAATATCGTATGGAATTTGAACATATATCTTCGTAATGTTTAGTATAAAAAGGGTGAATATTATCGATTCATTTGCAATTTTGCAGAAGAAACTTAATTGGTTATTGGATTTCATACAAGATAATATCGTTCAGAAATTTTTACGAATTTTATCCTACATTCAAAATCGAATTAAACCCTTAAAGGGGAAAAACCATATATTTGTCTTTTATTGAACGTAGTTTTGTTCTCATAGATATAAATTTTCATTTGGATTTACCAGAAATGGATATTTTTATTAACTGTACTGTCTGTATATTAACGCGACCTAGAAAAAATAGAGAAGTGGCAGAAAAATATACTTCATTCCCTTGCTGTGAATCTGATCTGTGAGGACATATTTACCTTGCAACATTCCCTCGCTTGAGCAGATGTGACTGTGTTTCGTTTATGCTGAGATCAAAGGAAAACAAATGGTAGATGGGGATGGCATATTGCATTCCCTAGCGAATGTAGACCTTTCTAGTTTATTTAGTAAATGATTATCTGTCGATATTGAAAGAGTTACAAAAGAGTCATTCACCACCTCACTGTGTGCATGTAAGCAGAATAGTATACCAGTACGGACTTCCTTTTTGACTAATTCTTGTTGTCACTGTTAATGACACACAACCTGCAGCTCACTACCTCCTAAGATGTCCCCACACACAACGCTTCCGTGACGCCTGCTGGACCACCACTCCACGACCCCCTGACGGAGACACGATGATCCTCCTCCCCATACTGGCCAGATATTATGTAAATAATATTGATGATGTGTTAAAGGAATATCCTTCCTTCATTAGGCTTTAGTAAGCACCTTTATAATATTTTTATATACTTGTCACACTTGCCAGATGCTTCTGGTGTTATTGTACAGGGGTACCTAGGTTTGCTACGCTGTCTTCCCGGCATGACCTCACTTTCTCGGTTGCAGGAAACTCAAATTGGGTAGCAAATTAAATTAGTAATTCAGCCTAGTTTTCTCTCCCTTTCTCGTTTACTTTTACTCACTCTCTCTTCCCTTTGTTGATTAGGGTGTGACCATACAAGTGTTACTGTTAAAATACTCGAGATCAGTGATATTTCTCTGAATCTCCTCCGTGAGACCCTAATAAACACAAAAAAGTTGACTGCCAGAAGTTTACTACAAAAAACTGACAACTAAAAGACACGAGGACGAGGATGGTGTGTGAGGCCTCCTCGTCCCCTCCATATGGGACGTGAGGCCTCCTCGTCCCCTCCATATGGGACGTGAGGCCTCCTCGTCCCCTCCATATGG